ATCTGATAGACCTTTGCAAAGTCGGTTTCATTCTTCGCAAACGTCTATATTCCTTGTAATCAATAATATATCAGCATTATTTTTCCGGTTTAACAGTAATGTAGAGTAGCAAAAGCAAGCAACTTTATATCAAAGACGAGTTTGATCATTAAATAAAATATTGCCGATTGATTCATGTTTTGTGATTCTGTATCCATCCGTCAGTTTCGGAAATTCTAAGAACACCTCGCAAAACTTAACCATGTTTAAATATCTCACTAAACGTTGTCGAATTGTTTTTCTACGCTCTTTCAGAAACAAATGTATTCCTTTAGATTGTTACACTAGGAACTTACTCCCGTTGAGTTAACTGGCCAAGTTTATTAACTCAATTATATCATGTCATTCCAAGCAGTAAATGATCCCGAATTTCTTTTTCCTCAAATTCAAGATTTCAAAGTTGGCCGAGGAGTTTGAGTAAAGAATGCATTCACTTCAGAAAAAATGTTCTCAAAACATCGTATAGGTGGCAGTTGTTTCTGAGTGAATATCCCTTCCCGTACTGAGTAAACTACGTTGTCGTTTCGTGATCTAGGCAATTATCTGAAGTGGTGCACTCGCTGTACATGTGGAATTTGTATTCGCTCATAAGGAACAAAAGTCTTTCTCACTATGTTAGCTCAAAACACTCTGTGTGTTCACCTTGGATAACATAAAATTGGAATACTTATTTGAAATGCTTAAATAATTATTGGGTTATAAAGCAGCGCAGTACAAATGAGCACAGTTTAGCGGACGAGCACAGACTTTTCTCACTTATTGGTGTTGTAAGTAGTTCAGTTGGACTTGGCGTCTCCTACCTCTCGAGGCGAAGTTTAAAAGCGCAGAAACTAGGTTCACTTGGAATAGAAAGAAAAATCGATGCTATACTTTCATTTTTCCCTGAGGTGTTTTATTTTTTCTGGTTTAAACGGGAATAAATCATGGCTTGACACTCAACTCCTTGATTAGTACGTTATATTCTTTGCTCTTGTCTATGTCTCCTTGCTTTTGTTACTACCCATGCCTTGAGTAAAATTTCTTTTCCTTTCTTTTCAGCTGTTATTGAAAACTGAATCGTCGTTTTCGTGTTCTGGACGACATTTTCAAGTGGCCCATTGTAGTTTGGAATCTCTATCCACCCATGACGAGAACAAAAGTCCTGTTAACCGATAATCGTTCTGTTTTTGTTGAAGAGTTTTGATCTGCTTTCTGTGTTAGCGTGCAGAGGCCTGTCTATTCAACTTGGATGACCTGAACTTGGAACATGGTTCATTGACATCCGCTTCTCTCTAAATAACGGGAACATATGCAAACGCCCACCTTCTGAGGAATCTGCATCCGCTCACCAGACATCAAAATCCGTTAAGCCGTTTTTCAGTTTCTGGTTTTGCGAATATTGCTTTATTTTCCCCGAGTTTGTAAGTCCGGCCGCTGTTTTACCTGTTTTGGAAACTGGTTTTAGCCTGAGTGCCAAGGGACAGGAACAGGTTCAATAAATCCATCTGTTGTAGAATTTGCATCCGGTTGCCTAAAATAGATGATTTGGACTAGCAAAAAGTAATTATTTACATCCGCTGCATCAACCCGATAAAAAGAGAAAACAACAACGAAAAAACAAAAACAAATCAGCAATTACACTTTGAAGACGACTAGAAAGGAAATATTAAGTAAAGTTATACAACTGAGAATTTTTAAGCCTCAGCAATTAAATATCGGCTGGTGATAAGGACCCAAAGGAAATGTCAAGTTCTTCCAGTAGTTAATGTCTGCTTACCTAGTACTGTGAACCATCATGAGAAACCACCCGAAAACACAAAACATTTTATTAAATGAAGATATTAAGTCTGTGTCACAACTTGCATGAGTCGGGGGAACTTGCAGGGAGATGTAGCTGAGCCCAAAGGCAACGGGAACGTAGCTTCACAGAAGGTTTAATGAACGGAACAATAGCTTTGCACGAGCGTTTTACTTCGACCAACCACATCGAAAACACCTGTAAGCCACAAACTTGTCTAAATTAAACAAATTTTGCGCCCAAATCTCATAAAAGATACAAAGACATCCCTACGTTTAGGTAAGTGAAGTTTACTTTCTGCATCAATAGCTTTATTTTAGCATATTTGGTCATATTTAGGATTAGGGTAAATGTCCCATACAAAATCTTTAAAGCGTTTGTTACGTAATATGCTAAGCAATCTAAATAAGTGCTAACAAGGGCGCCATTCATCGATATACCAAGGGTTGAGATAATGATTAAGTCACTCCCTTCATTCATAAAGTGAAGATGTAATCCTTTTGTTAGAAATAGGAACGTCTTGAAACAGTGACAAGTAAAGAAACCTAAACTGACATAAACAAACCCTATTTTGATGATCAAGGAACACATTCCAATCACGAGGTCACTCAGCCAAAGGGAATAAAAACATCTCAAAACAAAGATCACAAGGAGCGCTATTCACCCCTGTACTCAAATTAAGAACTGATTTATCAAACCTTACCCACCCTTCTTTATTAGACGTCAATGGACCTTTATTCTGACGATTGAGGAACAAATTCCGATCTCGAGATCAAACATCCCGAAGAGCGGCATAAAAGATATTCATTCCAGTCATAGAGCTAACTCCGCCTTTCTTTCGATTTGCGTAAATTCTTGGCATTATTTGAGCCATCAAGAAACAATTTACAACTATGAGACCAAACTTCCAAAAGGAAAAAAGCACATCAAACAAAGATAGCCCCGCCCATACATTGATTAGCACAGTGACGCTTGATTCCTTCTTGGGACTATTTAAGTTCTAACGTCTCCTTCGACTAGTCATCGTTCACTGGAAACTTCAAAGGTATAGAACTGTCTTTGTCCTATTAGGAGATGTATTCCGCAAATATGTTGCTGAAAATCGAACAGTTTTTTTTTCTGTTTTCTTCTGTCAAGGCACGCCAATTTTCAGCTCCATTTCTTTCCAAAACCTTGTAAGTAACTTTTTACTTGTAATGACACCAAAAGTGCTTTATACCAAAGGAACACAACTCCACAACGAATGTAGTCTTGAAAAGTGAAACAAAGGCTAGCGTTGTTTGTTGCCTTTAAGATAAATTCTGATGAAGCATTTCTTACTCTTATGACTTGCATCGGCTGGACCTCTAGCAGAATCTCACTTCGACTAGTTATAAATTTTCAACTGATAAACGAACGAGATCTATAGGTCGAAAACGCTTACTTAACTTATCGTCTTTCGTTATTTACTATATAAAATCGTGTTTGAGCAAATTACTCATCAACAGGCGATTTCATTTTCGTTCCATCTTTTTGCCAGTTCGATCTTCGACGTTTTTCCTTTTCATTGCCGTTTTAGTGTCCTCCGTTACTTCGCACATCTTTGTTTATTACTTCTATTCCAGATTACATTTTGTAAAACGTGAATTTGTTCCCTCTCAGTGGAATTCAATTTTTCTGCCCTTCAAAAGCTAATTCAAATAGCTTAATCAGGTTAATGGTTTGATGTAATGCCTCGTGCACCATCTACCACGACGGAAGAAGAAAGGGAACAAGTAAAAAGAGATCGAGTAGTTATCTAGAGCCTTTTCTTGTCAGTCAAAGCTAAAGCGCGTACTCTTGCAATCCTTTAGCAGTTCGAATGTTAATGCTGGAATGACAAAAATAATGCGAACTGAAAATTTTGCTTTATCTTTCTTATCAACATTTCCTTTGATGGGTTTCGTGATTATTTATCGCCATAACTCTGTGTTCAACTGCTGTAAATTTCTTGAGCCTCGCAAATTCTGGTGTATAACTTATGTTTTCATATGTTGACCGCATTTGCTCCCGGAAAACTACATTTGATGCCACTATATTAATTTTATCATCATAGTATCATAGCGTNAAAAGCTAATTCAAATAGCTTAATCAGGTTAATGGTTTGATGTAATGCCTCGTGCACCATCTACCACGACAGAAGAAGAAAGGGAACAAGTAAAATGAGATCGAGTAGTTATCTAAAGCCTTGTCTTGTCAGTCAAAGCTAAAGCTGCGTACTCTTGCAATCTCTTTAGCGGTTCGAATGTTATGGCCGGAATGACAAAAATAATGCGAACTGAAAATTTTGCTTTATCTTTCTTATCAACATTTCTTTTCATGGGTTTCGTGATTATTCATCGCCATAACTCCGTGTTCAATTACTGTAAATTTTTTGAGTCTGGCAAATTCTTGTGTATAACTTATGTTTTCATACTTTGACCACATATTGCCCCCGAAAATTTACTGAAACTTCAGCTCACGAGAGGAGGTTATGGAATTGTTCATTGAAAGTTTACTGAACTAAATTTGATACCAGTATATTAACTTTATCGTCATAGTATCATAGCATTGAATGAACATGGGTAACAAGTTAACTGTGGTATACTCAGACCGCCGTTGACTAACGCTGACAGTGGGCGCTAATATATTGTACAGATCAGAAAGTCATTTCGAAAATACAACATCGAAATCATTACGGCGGCTGATTATCTATTTCTTTATTTTATCACA